AGCCAGAAGCAAAGAGCAGAGGTGTGTACACCTCCTCATTCTCAGTCCACTGCTCAGTGGATTGCACTGCTGTTTATTTGCATAGGTCACATATGTCTGACTCAAACTGTATCAGCATTTCATGTCTCTGTCTGACATGCCTGTCCTGGAAATTTTTCTTATCTCCAAAGAATAATTCTAGAGCTGCACCTGCATATCAAAAGCCTGGCAAGAATTCCCCACGTTCAGAGCAATCACAAAATGGATTTACTGTTGTAATTCTTTTGAAACACTTTCAGAGAAAACAGTGATGATGACAAGCCAAGTTCTGCTTTCAGTTATATGAGCTCAATTCAATTCACTGCAGTAAAGCAAAAAAAAAACCAACCAAACAAAAAACAACCCAGCACCAAAACAGGTAAGGAGAGCAGGCACTTGGCTCCTGACCAGGAAGACATTCTGAAATGTTTCTAGCTAGTCCAGAACTAAGCTGCTCAAGAGGAGTACTGCAGCTTGGGGGATTGAGGTCAGTGCCTTCATACTTCCAACAGGAGAACAGTGCAGCCATTACCATTCATCCACATCAGTCAAATTCATCTGTACTGCTGCTGGGGTAAGACTGGCTAATACCAGGAAAGAGCAGTTGGAAGAGGAGGAAGAGAACAAAATTGAAGTTTGGTGTCTGGTCTCCAAACTCAGTACTGAAATCACAGCTTTCAGGGAGAAGACTTAGGGTACTCTGTTATTCATTTTGGCTGCTGGATCACAGTTTGTAGATGTGATCTGTTAGGACTCATTTTTGTAAGACAAAGAAAAGAGAATTACTCCCACCAAGAAGAACATTTGCAATAATAAATAGAGACTACTGAGACCTAACTCTTGTATGCTGGCAACAGAAAACCAATGCTGCACCTTTCCAGTAAAGGCTTGAAGTTGGACAGCCTTTCCTTACTCCAGCAGGAACTTTACTCTTCCAGCAGCCTTACAAAAGCCACTAGCATTTCCTGAAAAAAAAATGCACCTGAATCTGCTCCTTGAGATCTGGTAACGTGGGCAAGAAGTTAAGGCAGTCTTTTAACAGTATCTTTCTAGCAGAGCTAACAGAGGTGCTTTCACATAACAGAAAGAGAAGTTAAGGCACCTGGAGGGCTTTAACCACGTGCCTGAAACAAGTAGAGACAAAATAAGCTGTTCTATCTCTGCCTTAGTCCCATAGTCAGTCACAGGGAGTGGAGCTACACTGACATTATTGCTGTCCTGGAGATTCCTGAACAGAAAGTGGAAGGGTCTAACACCAGGTAACAACCCAGCAATGAGGAACTGAGCTGCAGTCCAGAACGGTGTTTGTATCTGGGGAGGGGAAGAGCCAGCCACATCCTAGTCATGATTTTACAGTCACTTTTCTGAGATTGCTTTCAGGATTACTGGTGAAAATAGCAGTAGTGCTCAAGGAGATGACTGCTGCTGACTCCCAGAACTCCTCACTCCACGACTACTGGGTTATTTCTGCCCCCATTCCTTTGGGACAAAGTTGGCTGGGAGGTTCCAAGAAGCGAAGCAGACAGCTGAATCAGTCCAAGTCTGCACAGGCAGCTCTAAGCAGAGGCTTCAGACCAAAGCGAAGCACCTCGCTCTTGACCTGGAAAAGGCAAGAAATTCAGCCATTCAAGAACACATCCAGCACAAGCCTGAGCAGCAAGACTTGGTGGTGGAAGCCCCAGGAGCCAGCTATGGGCCGATCCCTTATTTCTCAATACTTTAAGACTCTCTATCAAATGTCACTGTAACCTGTATGACCAAGAGAAGAAAGGCAAAGCTGAGCCACAGCTAATTCTTAGGAGCACGCAGCATGCTCCTCAAACTCATTAGCTGTCTTCCAGAAACAATAGTGCAGCTGAAGTGAAAGCCCTCCTCAGCAGCAAGGCAAGGTATTCATTGTCTTTTTAAGGATAATGAGATCCTGCTTTGAACTCTCCAGCGTTGCAGTACCAGTGGGTTGTTTCACCATCACTGCCTTTAATGAAGCAGTTCTTTACTCTTCAGTTTGTGGCGTGCTTATCACCATGGTACCTGACTGCATGTACTGATCATAAAAATACGTTGAATATTTGTGATTAAAAGCTCCCAGGAAAGAAAAAATGTTCCTTCGTTCCCTTCATGACAAGCCATTAAACAGTCTGGAATAGCCTTGAATAACATCTTGTTTCTAACTGAATCTTCTTTGAAGCAGAAAGTCACACTAATCAACCCAGGCAATTACTAACAGCACATCTGCACCACGAATATCTGAAGTGGAAAACATGTGCTCCACAGCAGCATCATTATAACAGCAGGGGCAAGGAGGACTATCACACTGATGGGAACTGGGGGAGCTTGTTAAATTCCTAATGGTGAGGAAAGAAAGCCTTGTAAACATTTTAATCACCCATTCAGAGCAACCAAGAGAAACTCTGCCAGTCACTACAGTGGGTGCCAATTTAACTGCGACTAGCTGGCAGGACACAGAGAAGTGAAGTGTAAAGAAAACTTGTGTCCACTGAATGCTTGGCTTTATCTTTCCAGGCCAATGCTGCTTCTGGAAGAAGGAGAGAGCCTTTGAGAAGATGCTGGCAGAATGGCAACACGAAAATATGAAGAGCTACAGGTGGAAGTGAATATTTCCCAGAAGCAGTGTACATGACTGAATGAGGCATCTCCAGGAATCAGTTGCAAGGATGTCACTTGAACTGCCTGAGTCTCCCTTACCTGCTATACAGGGAGACAAGCTGCCTTGGCTTCTTTTTTTTTTTTAATAAATAAAAATATTCTGTAAATTGTAAAAATTGATCTCCTCCAAGAGGCTGAAAGATGACACTGTCAATATTTAGAAGATGCAGATTTAGAATCTGCTGTCCCTGCAGCCAAGAGAAAATGGTGATGGAGTCCCTGGCAGAGACCCAGCACTTCCTGGGCCATCTCCCCCAGCCCTTTACCTACATCACCTGGCAAAGTGCCTCATTCTGTTGCATAGAGACAATGTGGAATCCTATTTTCATTTTGTATGAGCAACCATCTGAAAATAGGAGAGGAAAAGACTAGGCTAAAAACTGGAAAAAATGTCTCGTGATTTAATGGGCTTCACTCTTCTGCCTCCATGATCACATAGAGCCAGCAGGGCTCATTCAGAAATCCAGGATAATATTTAGCAGTGAGAAAAAGGGCAGCTAATGTGAAGTGAATGGAGCCATTTCACACCATTCCTATTCAAAGAATCTGTTTGGCAGTCCTGTTTGGCAGTTCACAGTCCTGAAATAAACCTACCACATGAAATATCCGTTTTCTTCCCCGGAGGAAATTAAGGATCTAATCAATCAGCTGAGGATCAGAGGGCACCACGTTCACGAGCTGCAGAAGATTGAAGACTGATCAGGATGAACTGCAGGTGGCACTGGAGGAAACGGCCTTCCCTAGAAGCACCAGTGCCACAGATGTGAGTGCTGCATGCAGGCCTGATGCCTGCTTGCCCACATTGCACCGGGTAGATTCTGTGCTTCAAATCCCACAGAGCACCTTTGTTTGTTCTTCTGCTGCACCTCTCCTTACAGGTTTGCACTCAGCTTGAACTGCTTCAGGTTAGAGCTGAAACTAGATAGAAATCAGAAGGAAGAATCTGAAATAATCAGGTGTAGCAATATGACATTAAGTTATACACCAAAACCGCAGCAAGATTTAAGGTAAACACTTGGTAAGTTTCCTATTGTAGGGGGAATCACTCCTGGGACAAGATGGTCTGGAGATCATGAAGCCTCCATTACTGGAAGTTAAGTACAGTCTGGTAACATGCCCTGGTTTAACAGAGATAACCCCCATTTTAAATAGGTTTTTAAGATGACTTCTTGAAAGCTCTCCTAGCCCTATGTTTTACAATAAAGTAGTCATAGCTTGGTGCAAAATCTTAGTACCTCAGTTTGAAACAGGCTTAGAAATTGATGACTGTTTTTATTACTCAGTGAGCAATAATTTGATACAAAGGCTGGATTAGATTCAACATAACAGAATGTTGTGCCATATGCTTCACTGCACTCTGCAGGAAAATCACCAGCATGCAATTGAGTCTCCACAGGTGAGTCTGGAAACTGAATCAACAGGACATGCTGAAACTCCCAAGCTCGAGGTGAAACAGACTCAGACAAAATGGAAATCTGAGGGGATTGTGCCAACAGTGACAATAATGAGCTTGTCAAGATGCTGAATCAACTGCAACAGAATGTCAAGCTAAACTGCAGAAGGTGCAAGCAGGACCCTGAATAAAAAAGCGTGCCAGTTCTATCCTACACCTTCAGCAACAAAGTAATAAATTATGCACTCTTGTTTAGACAACTTGAATAAATTGAGAATTTATATTCATTAGTCCCAGCTCTCCCACTCACACCAATTTCAATCTGCAGCAGTTCCAACAAACCTTATACAAGATAAGCATTACTATCAGCTTTTCTCAAATTAGAATCCAAGCGAATCACATTTTTGTTCTGATCACATACAAGGGCTGTTTGCATCAGCACAGCCACAAAACTGACCAGGACCTCATAAAAGGTAAAAGCACAGTAAAAGCACAGAGCAACCTTTGGCACTTCTTCCAGAAGGGAAAACTCAGAAAAAGAGTGATAAAGCTAAACTCTGCTGGAGCAGTAATACATTGCTGCCAAATATATAATTTCAGTAACTGAAAGAATAACAAGACTCTCTCTCCCCCCTCGTGTGTGCATACACATACACCAGCCTAACTGTCCTCTGTTACATCTGTCTCAGTCAGGAGAGCCTCTCACAGAGCACGTGGCTACAGCAACTGCAAACAGGCACAAATGATAGCAGGATAAAGCACTGCTTTTCTGTTTCGTTTTTTGTTTTGTTTTAATCTGGCAACACCTGAAAGAAAAGCCTTGCAAACAGACCTCCTACATCTTTCAGCTTCTTCTCAGCTCATTATTTCCTCTTTCACCTGCTTTCGAGATGTTTAGATTCAAATGGATGAAGATGCTTACCAGCATGAGAAAACCTGCAGGAACAACTCCTCAGAACACTACTGACAGAACTGGAAGGAGCACAGAATGCCCAGAGAGCAGTGGGTGCCTTCCCAAACTCCTGCAGAGTGGAGAGACATAGTGAAAACAATGGCTATGCACAGAGGTTATTTATGCAAGAGCTATTGTGACAGTTTACATGCAGGTGGTTTAACACTCAACCTTAACTTTGAGTAGGAAGGGCAGGATTAGGCCAATAATGGACAAATGTAACACTGCTCTATAAGGAAATTCTGTGGAACCTGAAGGGCTCAGTCGTTAGAATAATTATACTGATGGATGGCAAGACTTTTATCTATTTTAAACAAAGTCTGGACTATCTTGGCTCAGCTTTGCTCCTAGCAAGGCCTAGCAGATTTGGTGGAAGATGTAAGACAGTGCTGAGCACTCCTGAAAAACCTGCCTTAAAAAGGGCAGTATTAAATTCTGCCTGCACTGAAACTATAGTTTTGTCAGTTGTTTCCATGGTGCTGGGACTTCCATGGAATGCAGCCCACAGCCACATCTACTTCAGTGAGATTTTAAGCATCTTTGCGTTGTATGAAATATCATAGCTGCCATTTCATTCCGTGCACAGACCTAAGGAGCTGTTTTAACATTCACCACAATCTGCAGTTCATTTCCATGAAGGATAAACCACACATACAAACATCTGCAAGGAAAAGAATACGAGTTCTGGAATGGACTGACACCACGAGAAGCATTTCTCAGCTGCAATTCTGGGACATCAGTTACAAGAACTGAGTCAGAAATGCAGCTGTTATTCAAATAGGTTAGAAACTCAAACAATACATTTACCTGCAACTGACTGGTGATTAAAGATGCATTTTTAGCAGGTAAACTGCAACCTCTGTACCAAATTTGGAGTTTTAAGCTTTGTTAATACAAAACCTATACAGCACAGAAGTTATGCAGCATTGTAGAACACAACAGTACATTTACTTGATGTCCTTCTGCTGAAGAGCAGCGTGTTGTTAGAATGCAGTCTTCCTATTAAAGCCCTTGCAGTTCTTCTTCCTTAGAGTGGGGCTTATTTATTATTATTATTATTATTATTGTTATTATTTTACAGCAACAAGAGTCCTCCAGTGATTCATATCAGTAAGCACTAAACAAGCCATGGAGCTCACACTTTCCATGAGATAAAAAGACACACATTGTAAATTCTGGAGCAGAGACTGTATTTGTTTGTTGAGATTGCAATCAAACACATTTTCAGTCAGGTCTAAAGCCAGCTGCTGCTACTGCAGCTTAACTTTGAAATAAATAATATTGGTTTATATGCTCAAATCCATGTACACAGATATCCAGTAAAACAGACTCAGACTCGAGGACTTTGTAAACAACAGGGTCTATTTCTGCCTCAGAGGTGCATCATCATTTTAGCTTTCATTTAGCATTAAGGTAAATACAGAGGTCCTAATGTTCCACAACACAGATACAGTGGGGGTGAATCCCTGTCGACTTAGTAGTGCACAATTTTATAGAGAAAAATAAGCCACTGAAAATTAATCCACAAATCACTTAATGAGACAAATGGAAGCCCCAGAGGTGAGCATTCAACATTCTGGGAATCCAGGACTCCATTATTTTCTAGAAAGAATCTGCCTTGATTTTTACCACACTACTAACAAGCATGAGGAAATCATCCCTGAGCACTGAAAAGCTGATGAGAAAGCAAAGAAAGTTGTGGCTGATCCAAGTTACCTCTCCACCCTTCTGCCCCTTATATTGGTAAATGGAAAATACACCCTAAGGCTTCCAGCATTTCCCTCCTGCATCTATTGGAAGAACACTGTTAATAACGTGTTAACACTTGCTTTGCTTTTTACAGTCCTGAAAAGCAGCATGCTTGTTAGCTCACCGATTGCAGTCTGGCAAAATTAATCCACAGAAGAAGAAATCTACTTTCCCTCTGTCTCTTTGGTAATTTACACGACAGATGGCACCCTGAGGAATTCCTCCATTTCCTCTCTCTTTATCCTTTCTTCCACTTATCCCACAGCTCCACCCATCACACTTACCAGGTCTCCAACACAAGAGGAGGCTAGTTTCCCTCTCTAGATAGTCAACGACATTCGTCATTGGCACAGAGGAGAGAAAAGTTGCCAGTACTGAGCAGATTGCTCCATTGGCACTGTGCTGACAGCTGACACTTCAAGTATCAAAGCTAGATGTGGGTTTAATGCGTAGCATTTCCTCCCCAAGTAAGGATGAGTGTCCTGCCTTTCTGTTTAAGCTACCTCACCTTCAGACAATATCTTCATCTTCCATCCACTGCAAGCCCCCAAGTCACATTTTTCCACTGAAGGGTGGACATCAAAGCCTGAAATGTTATTAGAACAAAGTTATTGACTTAACAGATAGGGATAATACCTTTGAGTATTCCGAAAGTATTAAGCAAGCACACCACCACCTGGTTTATGGTCTGACCTAGCGCTGCCCAAGTCAGCTGGGATTACCTCCATCAGTTTGGATCCAATCTTTAGAAAGGCAACCAATGATAAAGAAAAATTAAAGATAAGGCAAATTTTCTCAGAGGGCAGCATCCAGGTCTACACATCCTACTTTTCAATACCCTGTACAAATAGCTGCACTGTCAATATTTCATACCTTCCTCAGAAGCCTCCTGCGTGGCAAAAGAGCTGCGTCAGGAGCAGGACCACAACGCGCGCCTGGCAAATATTAAGGAAATAATAAAGTGTAAAGATCTGTAAATCAAAATTGAATAGGCTGAGTAGTCAGCCCTGGAAAGACAAAAAACAAAACAAAACAAAAAAAAACCACTATCATGAAACTCCAGGGTAAGAAAAAATGTGCTTGGTTGGAATGAGCTTTCTAGTAGACTTGTGCAACTACAAAACTCCTTCCTGCACCTCATCTTCCACATTCAACAAAAATAAATGAAAACATCCCATTTCAGATAACAGTTAACATGTATCAAAAGAAATGTAACTAACTTGAGGAAAGCCAGACTGGGCAGAAAAGATGCACGTAGGATGCTCCCAGTCCACTGGAGCACAAGGGAATTTCAGCTCTCTGCACCCTGAGCAAAACATATCAATCAACTCTCATGGTGCTTGAATACAGCAATAACAAGCTACTGGTATCAGCAGCTGATCTACACCCACAAAGGAGAACTTGCAAAGTGAACTATCAGCAGTGGCAGGACTTACCCTTTATTTTTGTGTTGCAACAAAACTCAAGAGCACGAGCATCTCCAAACTCCTGGGGTAGATACCATCTTCCTATTTCTTTTTCTTATCCTCACATCAACATTTCAAATCCCTTCTGTGATTGTGTATCCTGCTGTTCCTTTTCAGATTAAGTAATGGATACAGAGCTGTCCTCCAAACAGAAACACGATGTTCTTCTGCAGAATTTTCGGTCTGCACAAGAAGCCTCTAAAGGAGGTGATCTTCCATAAAAGATGACAACAAAACCAACCAGCATGCAGAACTAGAACGGCTGGAGAAGCTGCAGAACTGAAAACATTGAGAATTGAAGCAGCTGTTTATATCTCCTGCTTCATCACATAACTGTATCTTGCTGATCTGCTGAAGGATCACATCAGACATATCCTAAGACACTTTTTTCCAGCGCAAACACTTCTCTTGTTAAATATTTGCTGGTCCAGGAATAGGAGGATGACCACAGCCTGTCCAAGTACAGGAAGACCATACACAAACTAGATGACAGAAGAAAGGGGTGGAACGGCCAAATCAGCTCTAACTGCACACCAGGAATCCTCAGCCAGCAAAGGGCTCGCTTCTGGAGAGATACCCAAGTGCCAAACTCCTCTTCCTCCATGTCAGTGGCTCAGGAACAGCTACTGAAGTTGAAGCTCGTGTTTGAAGCCATCTGCCATGAACTTACTAGAGCAGAAAAGGGTGTGGAAAAGAGATGAGGAAAACAGGTGTGTTCTCAACATAGGTACTCCACAAACCTGTTTGTGCACGGAGACAAGTTCTGAAATGGCAAATGGTTGCTACAGGGGGGTTTCCACCAATGTAAAACAGAAAGGGCTAATAAGCAGCATCCTAATGCTTCCAAAAGGGATGATCAATAAGGGCATCTTCTCAAGGGCACCACAACTGTACAGGAAGAATCTCTCTTAAGGAAAAGCCTATCTAATCTGGGGGGCATGGTACATAGCAAAACTGCACTAACAGGCTTGAGATAACGAAGACGGCTACACAGGACAGAAACTAGAGGACAGAAAGCATGCAACAACATGCAGATGGAAGAACTATCTGTATGAGATCTCAGCAACTGAAAGTATGGTTCTCAAGTACACCTTGAGTGACAGAAGACACCATCAGTACTTGAGAAATACCTGCACTGACAGGTCTGGGACTTTAAGATAGAAGGTGGGATCTCTTGAAAATAATGCCTCTTTATAATAGTTGCAATGCAAAGTCTTAATAAAGGTTATTGTACAGAAAAAAAAACAAACTGAGATTGTTCACAGTGTGACAGCAAAACAGTGTACCAGGATGCTGCTCAAACCTGACGTCAGGAGGTGCTGCAACAGGATGATGGAGAAGCACAGAAGAAGCAAACTGACAGCCTGGGAGGTGGGCACAGCTCCTGTGGCAGCAGAGCACAGGCTGCATGACTGTGAGATTTTGCTGGTTGTGGAAGACATGCTCAGGAAATAGCAGGACTGGCTCCTAGTGAATGTCTCGAATGAGACAGTGTTTAAAACACCTGTGTACAGTTTCACTGTCAACCTAAAAAGAAAAAGCCACTATAAATACTGCCACTATTTCTTTTCTAGTGGAGCTGATTTTCTGCAACACTACCACCATCCAAACACCATCACCTTGCTGTTATTCACCAAGCCCTGCTTGGATAACTGCAACAAACGCATTCAAGCATAGAATCTCAGGAAGGCAGGCTAACAGCAGGGCAGGCACAGCTGAGCATTGCACACTGGACACTTAGCTCTAAAGGTGGACACTTGGAGCCCCAGCCCCCAGACCTACCAGCTTGAGCATGGAGGCTCCCAACACAAGGGGCAGAAAGCAGTCAGCATGGAGCTTATCATCATCTGGAAAGCCAGTATGCAAGAAGACCACTCAGTGAATCTGATCAATATGCAAGCAGTCTGCCTTCCTTCTTATTTTGTATTACAACAGTTGCACAAATTATGTGAAGTTCTAACAGTTGTCACGCATAACATTGTATTAAGTTGCAAACAAACAAACAAACAAACAACCCCCCCCCAAAAAAAAAAACACAACAAAAACAAAATAGGACAATTAGATACATTGACTTTTCAAGCTTAAAATTCCCGAATTTGCAGTTGTTTCCATCGGTGACTCCAATTGACCTTAAGGAAAGCACTCCTCATAATTCAAGAGTATTCCTGATGAAAATCGATCTTGATAAACTGTGATCTAAATGGCAGGTCTAGAAAGGCAGAGAATTCAATTAGGAAAAAATGTCCTTTCTCATCCCCCTGTTAAGCATCAGATGCGATATAACATTCAGTGCCAGAAATTGCTGCTTTCAGATACTGGGGTGAATAACACACTTCTAGAAGGCTTCTCAAACTAAGCACTATGATCTGCAAATACCTGTTTGTATATATTGCAACCCACTTTCTGAGTAGCTGTTACCAACTGTGTGCCCTTGCTGTTAAAAAAAAGAATGAAAACAATATCCCAGCTCTTCTTTTTTTCCCCCCCTCCCAGATATATCTTAAGGTTGTATTGACCTAAACTACTTTTATTAAAATCATTTTGATTTGGCTTGCAAGGCTTTAAATCTCAAAAACACTGGCATCCTTTCTGGATTACCAGAGTTTAATTGCATCAGCAATACCACAGGAACAAAGGTGGGACACTCTCTGGAAAGCTATGCTGAAGATGAGGCCTTAGCCTTTAATGCTTAAAAGCTCTGCAGAGCTCCTCATTTAGATACTTTCACCCCATCTGGTGAAAATCATTTTGAAAACATAAAGCCATGCTTAAACGCAATTTCATTCCCGTTACGTAATGTCACTTGGCCCAGTTGAGCATCTTTAATCTGTGCAGCTGAACTAGTTTTATCGTTAAGCCAACAAGGGCTGCAATGATTACATATCTCAGGGCTACAGAACCACAGTAACACTGGGTTAGGAGCCCATTAAGCAAAGTCTCCTTCCTGAACGCAAGCTCTTATACTGCACTTCACCCACCGTGAGAAATATTTGTCTGATCTATTCTTAAAACCTGTAAGAACAGCCCATACCTTGCCCAGTCAGTCCAACACTGCTCGACTGGCTCAGAAGAATCACGGGACATTTTTTCACTGTAACCTACATCTGCCTTGCTGTTATTTTAGCTTATGGCTCCTCACCCTACCCCCAGTGGACACAAGAGAACAAACTGTCCCTTTCTTCACGGCAGCATCCTTTCATCTATTTGAAGACTAACCACGTCTGCGGCTTTCTGTTCTCTCTGGCTCTGTAAAAGTCATGTGTTCAAAGACTGATCATTACTTCTACCTCTTTCTCTAAATCATACAAATTTCTCTCACGTGGAGCCCAGTACTGGACACACTGTTGTAGCACAGCTCAGCATAGCAGGACACCTGTGCCTTATTAGCAGTTTTTTTTTACTCACAGAGACCTTCATGGCATTCACCTCTCCAACAGCAAGCCGTTGATACTCATTCAGCTTACAGCCCACAGCAGCCCCTCCATCCTTTCCTGCAATACAATCAACTCCACAATTATGAAGTATACAGTACTACACCTGTTACTTTTATCCACAGAGCTCCCCGTTTTGCATTCCAGTTCTCTGGCAGTGCATTCATACAAGCTCAAACTTGACCTCATCTTCAAACACAGTAATTACAAGGCCTGTTTCACTGTGGATGAGTAATGGACTGAAGGTAGTTCCCCAGACAAGTGCTGATACCAAGTACATTTTTCCACAACTAGATCTGCAACCCTGCTAAAGCAGTACCACATAGACTGGTTTTTCAGTTTATTATTAGAAAATCCTGCAAGCCAACATCAGAAGTTCCACTAAAAAAATCAAGGTACATGACACACGTTGCCTTATCCTTATCTGCAAACTGTTACACCGCCAGAGACGGAGATGAGACTGGCTCCATTCATTCACTACAAAGCCATCCTGGACACAGCTCACCTTGTTCCCCTGCAGTCGCTTACAGACAGATTTTTTTTCAGACCAGAAATTAAACTCACAATGAGGAGCAGCAGAGCCATACCTCAGAGCTCACCTCCTCACAAGACACGTGCCTGACTTGGCATGCTTCAGCTCACAAAGCCTCATGGCCAGTAAGGTTTATAAGCTGAGTGTTACAGGAGTCAAAGCACAAGACCCCAGCGCCCAGTGCAGCTCAGGAAAGCCCTTCACTCAGCCAACAGACTGCAGCTCCTGCCTTACAGCCCCCAGCTGAACACCTCCTAAGACCAGCATGGCTCAGCATGCTCAGCAGCAGCTCCTCCACAGCTGCCCCTGAGGCACCACCGCTTCCCCTCGCACACCCTCGAAGCCCCGCACACACAACGCTCTCCCACGCCCGACACCCCGGCACCACGTGACTACGCCAACCCCTCACCGCGCACGCGCCTCCCGCCCAACCGCCTCCTTTGTGTGAGGCGCGGGCACGGCGCGCGCGCACCCCACATTCCTCCCTCCCGCCCTCCCTCCTTCCGCGCAGGCGCAGAGCGTGCTCCCGCCCCCACAGCACGGCGCATGCGCAACCCGCGGCGGGAGGCTGGCCGGCGGGCGGCGCGCAGGCGCAGTGCGCGTTTCCTGGCTCCCTTGTCAGTGCCGGGCCGCCCCCCCCACCCCTCCCCTCCGCCGCCGCCGCCCGGAGCGGAGTCGCGTCGACTGCCCAGAGTCCGCGAGCCCCGCTCCGCCCCCGCCGCCTCAGGTGAGTCCCGGCCCCGAGGAGCGGCCGTCCGCCCGCCCGCAGGCCCAGGTGCTGAAGGGATGGCGGCTCCCCGGCTCTCGACCGCGGCCTGCGGGCCCCTCGCCCGGCCCTGCGCTCGGCTCAGCGGGCGGGGCGGCTCCGTCCTTCAGGCAGCGCTCACCTGTGCGGGCCGGCCGGCACCGCCCGCTTCGTGCCGAGCTGCCGCCGCCCCGACGGAACGGAGGCTGGGGGTCCGGAGGGGATGACAGCGATGGGAGGCGGCGCTCAGCCGGCTGCTCCACGGGTTGTGGAGATAGGCAGAGATTAAAGGCGGCTCTCGCCCTCACTCGCTGTCTCTGATTCGGACGCATCTCCTCGCTGTTCATCCTGGGTAGCCTCGTGCTTCTCGAGAGGTGACAGCAGCTCAGGGGTGTTTGCCGTAGATGTGCTCTGAAAGCTCGGGCTGAGCGCGCTGGAGTCCTTTTTTCACCCAGCCCTTAAGTTGTATTTCGAAGCTCGAGGACAGTTAGTTTGCATTTGAAAGAAAAATAAAGGAAAGAGCCAAGAGAGGGTTCAGGGAAGAGCCACGAAGATGATCAGGAGGCTGGAGCACCTCCCCTATGAGGACAGGCTGAGGGAGCTGGGCTTGTTCAGCCTGGAGAAAAGAAGGCTGTGGGGTGACCTCATTGCAGCCTTCAGTACCTAAAGGGAGCCTACAAACAGAAGGGGAATCAACTCTTTGAAAGGGTTGATAACTGCAGGACGAGGGGAAATGGTTTGAAGTTGAGTAAGGCAGATTTAGGTTGGATGTCAGGGGAAAATTCTTTACAGAGAGAGTGGTGAGGTGCTGGAGCAGCTGCCCAGAGAGGCTGTGGATGCCCCATCCCTGGAGGTGTTCAAGGCCAGGTTGGATGGGGCCCTGGGTCCTAATTGTGGAGGTTGGTGGCCCTGCATGTGGCAGGGGGTTGGAGATTCATGAGCTTTGAGGTCCCTTCCAACCCTGGCCATTCTGTGATTCTGTAACAGTTATCACAACAGTGCCTTTCCTATGTGAAGTGCTGAGGTTGGCAGACAGGAGAACACTGACGGGTTACGATGCAGTGGTTGTATCAAGTCATTCAGCTGGTCTCTGAGAAGGAATAAATCTTAATAAAAATCTTACAAACGTATTTATCTCCCCAAAGGAAATAACATTGCAATGATCAGATGAGAAATATTTGTGCTTTTTGAGATTGTCATCACTCATTTCTTAATGAGCGTTACCAAACCCAAGCCAGCTGCTTGCTGCCAGTTGTGGCGCTTGAGAAGCCCAGCAGATGAGAACACATCACATCCCTTGTGCAGATGAAAGCTTTGGGAACAGCCTGTAGGTTAGTGAGCAAAAATCTCTGAACTAGGAGTTGTTAGGATGGGACAGCAATGCTTTGCAGAGTGCCAACCTGTGGAGAGAGCATGAGGACTGTTAGAAAGTGTTTGGAAATAGCTGCGTTCCTTGGGCAGCAGAGATTGGATAGTTTCACATTTTATTTGGAAAGAGTCAAAAAGGCTGAGCATTCCCTGTTGGTAGTAGAGCTCTTCAGCTTTTCCTGTATATGGAAATGCACTGCTACTGAACTGTTGGCATGCACTAAAGCAAGACTGTGGAAAAAGCAATTTGCAGTCGTGTTTTGCTTATGTTAACGCATGGAATCTCAAACCATAACTGTCCAAGGTCAAAGGTAACTTGGATTGTGTCAATGTTCTCACATCAGTAAAAATAAGTAGTTGTTTTTTCTTAGGGCTGCATGCATGTAGTGGCTTTATTTTATCTTTAGGATAAGATTACTAGAACTAAGAAAATCATGGCAGTTAAAATTATGAACTGGACTTGAAGCTCATTTAGCCAGAGTTCCTATTTTAAGTACATTTGATGAAACTGCAAATCGTGTCTCTTTATAACAACAGGGCTTAATTTTTTTTAAAGAAAAAAATCTGTCCAATTATTTGCATTGGTGAAGTACTGAATCATGCACAGAGTCCTGAGGAGAGATACTTCTTAAACTGGTGGGCTGCTACAGTTGCTCAGCTCTGAAAGGGGTTACTCAGCTCTCATTCACTCCTGAGTTTCTGTGGGACCGCCATTCATTTCCTGTTTGCTTCCAAATTCCTACCTTGTCCTGAAGTCTCCACCCTCTGCTAACATGGCCATACTTGGCTATGTTGTAATTTCAGGCTGCAATGGGTGTGGATGTCTTGGAGTGACATCACAGAGATGGTGCTTGTTAGATGTACGTGGAGGGGCAGGCAGACACTGCTATCAGCCGAGGATAAATTGCTACAAAACATGTGGAATACGTGAAAGGAGGAAGAAATGAAGAAATCCCAGTGGTGTGTGCTGAGCTGTGCACATTTCAGCTCTTACAGGTGACCTTGAGTTGTTACAGTGCTACCTGCCATCCATTTATACTGTCCTTGATTAACACAGGACACAGAGGTATGATCTGATATTTTAAAGAGCTTTCAATCACCTGCAAATGTTCAGCAGTAAGTTAGAAGAAAAACTCAGCATCTAGCCTGGTAAAAAAAAGTATTCACAAACCCAAAGAACTCAGTTTGTTCTTCCACTGTTTGAATCTCACAAGCATGAAAGCCATAAAGCAGGTAAGCGTTAGGATTAACTTGAAGAAATTAGTACTTAGTTCATTACTGATGTTAGTGGTTTTTCCCTAGGATACTTACAAACGGCTTCATCAAATGATACAGCAGCAGATTACAGTTACATATCTGTGCACATCAGTTTAGCCTCCTGATAGATGGAAAAAAAAAAAAGATTTCATTGTAGTGCAGCAAGCCTCAGTACACACCAGAATTTCAAATCAATTCATTAAGCTGTCACTAAGTTTCTTGTTTAAGTATTCTAATTCCACAGTTAAAGTGTTAGGTGTTAGATTTCATAACAGTGTTTCCTCATATGAGAATACAGTAAGAAGCAAGAGCATAAACCTTTTAGAGCAATTGCAATTAGCTGTAGCTAAGCAGGACAGTCAAAATTCATTGACCTACCAAAGATGTTGGGGCACAGGGGGAAAGGTCATAACCTGCTGAGCATCTGTCATTGTCTGAATAAATTGTCATGCTGAGCTGGAACAGCCTTTGTAGATGTTGAGGACTGATTTGTTTTAACAACCACTGAACTTTGAAGTGTTTTGTTGTCATTTTCACACCTTTCAGTTTTCCCCCCCCCTCCCCCCCAACTTTTCCAACATAGGAATTAGCTCGGAATGTCTCTACATCAGTTCTTATTGGAGCCAATCACCTGCCATGCATGGAACAGAGACCGTACTCGTAAGTGATGTTTTCATTTACTTTCTCAGCTGCTCTTTTCTCTGTGCTATCAATTGGTTCACCCTGAAGTGTTCTGGACCACGTTTAAGGAGGATGTGGTCAAATACACAGCACTACACTTAGAACCCAAGAAGCATGCTGCAGTCCTAAATCTGTTTGGATTTGAGACCCTTTTTTTGAAACTTGGACATTTAAGCAAATCCAGTCTTAGTGGGGTCCCAGAAAGTTTCGCCTCTTGGTCTGTACCCCATCAGAACATGTCCTTCTCATACTCTTTAACCTTTTATTTCTCTGCCCCAAGCCCAGCCTTTTCTTTTTATATAGTCTTCTACTGCAGCTGGATTGTTACATTCCAGCTGTGCTGTCTTTCTGTTCAGTGTACTCACAGTCATGTTATGGCCATCATTTTTTGATATTACCCAGCAGGGATGGTAGCCCTTGGTTTACAAAACCTATGTAATGCTCTGAAAGTTAAGAGTACAAACTTTAGACTGGGAAGTTGTTCCAAGTAAAAGGGTATTAAAGAAGCTTTCTGTACTAAGGGACTGTTTCTTTTCTTCTTCAAGAAATTGCCATTAGCCCTAATAATCATGAAGTCCACATTTACAAGAAGAATGGGAGCCAGTGGGTAAAAGCTCACGAGCTGAAGGAACACAATGGCCACATTACAGGTAAGTGAAGAGCAAGCTGTGCCAGACATTGTGCAGCAATTTTCCCTGCACCCTTCTTTCCTCAGCCGAGCATCTGAACAGGAAACCTGCAGTAAATAGATCTCTCTATATGTACGTATTCCCTCTTTATGGAGAACCTTGTGGCATTTTCCTGGCCTGCATGCAGTGAACTGTTGGTTCATGGCTTCTGACAGCAGTAAATCTTTTTTTAGGGATTCATTTCACCAAGTTTGTGTTGATACATTTTTCCTTTCCCTTTCCTACAGTACTCTGGCTTTAGGTTGGTAAGTGTTTTAAGTTGCCACAGATGCTGATGGAAACAGCCCTTCCCTTTCTCAGTGCTAATGCTGAGAAGTGCTTGTGTAGCATCCTCAGTGAGCAGGAAGAGCAGTTCTTTCAAGCCAGATGCAGGAGGAAAGCTTTAAGAACTGACTTGACTGCAAAGTAAAAAGCAAGACACCAGAAA